GAGGCCTCTTCCGTATGTTATGCATTTATTCTGGGGGCCGTTTCGGTTTTACCCTATCTATCTGTGGTTGTGGTCTTTCGCTGTTTCGTAGGCCTGGCAGCTTGCTGTCTGATCTCTTTGCGAAGGCTGGTGTTGCCGTTCAAAGATTGGTGTTGGGACATCCACTTGAGCTTTCGCGGTTGCTCGATAATAATCGCAATACTCTTGTCGTATATTTCGGCTCGATGAGCCATCCAGGCTTGGAGCGCACCTCTTTGAAGTGGCTTCAGACTCATTGAACCTCACTGGTTTCGCAGTAGAAGTTGTAGTGACACTCGAGTATTCCCGAACATTTGGGATGGGCCGAACGGCTACAGGTGTCACAATGTATGCCATTCACAACTCCTTTTCCGCACGTTACTCCCAGACACGAATGGGAGGCACGTGGCATTAGTAATAAATAATACGTATAAACGGGGTTAGTGATTGATACCTAAGCAAACTAATCGATGAAATATAAAAAATGTTGGAAATTTATTGTTAGATTACTATTAAGTAAAGCGAGGTCAACCTTTACTAGTTAGGTGACGTTAACTGTGACTCTGTAAATAACACTGATTCTTAACGTAAACCAATAAACTGGTTTACCTTTAAGTGACAGTAACAGAAAAATTTACCAACAATAGCAAGAGCACCGAGGAATACAACCGAAAGTGCTCTGACAAAGCATGTGACAAGAGTAACCAGATGACAAGGACATGATGGCCAATTGTGTGAATATCCAAAATGGTTGAATAACTAGGAGGAGCGGTCATCATAAGATAATTTAACTCTCCGGAAGTAGATAAAGAAAGCTTATGAGTCCCTCTTGTGGCTTTGGAAGGAAATTAGTGAACCTATTGACAGTGCTACCCCTGGTGTAGCACGTCAACCAACCCACTGGATGTCGGGAGGGGTAAAGACCAAGCATGTTGGACTTGGTGCTGACAAAGCTGCTATGTGATGTGGCATAGCTGGAGGTTTCTGCTCCCCTAGGTAACACGTAATCTCAAGAGGGGTTTCTGGAAGCTGGATGTTCCGACGCCCAGATAGGCACCAAACGGTATTCGCTCCGTGGAGGAGTAGTGGTAGTCATTTAATGACTGTATCGCTAGGCTCACGGACGAAGTAATGCCTTTACGAAGGGTCAGAAAAAATCGTCGGCCGCCTCGGTGGGCAAAAAGGGTAGGCCGAGCCAAAGCCAACAAACGAAGGGCATGGGTCAGCCTGCGGAGCACTGGAGGACATCGACTATCTAGCGGCCAGAGAAATAGCTCTCATGATACAGAAACAGTGTCAGCTGGAACAAGGAAGTAGGATAAAACGCAATGTTAAACAGCATCCAAAAGTTTGCTACAACTACGTGCAATCTAAGGCCCACTCACGGATAGCGGCTGGAAATGTAGTAAGTGCAGACGGCGTGAGTACAGCCACCAACAAGGAGAAGGCTTAAGTCCTGAAGAATGTCTTCGAGAAATTCCACATAAAGGAGTTAGGTAAGCCCCTTTTTGCCCTATCGGGCAGCCTTCCTAAATAGTTCATGGCAACGTTTGTCTTAGAGGCGAAGGAGCTAGAAGTAGCACTGGGACACCTAGACCAGCACAAGGTCCCGGGTTCGGATGAGCTCCATCCAGAAATTTTGCGACCCATGGCTTGGATCACTTCAGTTGCACTGGAGCAACTTTTCAATCGATCCCTTGCCGTCCGACTGGGCCACAGCAGGAGTGGTGCCAATCCACAATGGTGGATCAAGAGCAGCTGCTTCTAGCTAC